CCTATGTCTCCCATGAGAGCCAATAAGGACAACTGCTGAGAGTTACAGTCCAACAACATGAAGAAATCTGCACTTTGCCCACCCTTGGTCTGGACAGTAGAGTGGCGATACTTCAACCCAGCAAATCAAATCCTACTTGACCTGCCATCCAGTACTCAGAGGATGAGGCCCTTATCATGCAATTATCCTGCTTCTTTAGGCCAATGAGAGGAAGTAGTGGCTGCCTAGAGGTACCAAGCAAGCAAGAAAAAGTAGGCAGGTTATCTCCGCTGTCTCTCACTAGGTGGAAAGGATTGGACTTGATGTGTTCAGTTGCTACAACTGAATCACCCAGAGGCAGAATGACAGTGACAGGGAGTGAGGTGGCTACATTTTCCTTTAGTATCCCCTTTTCTACATCACTTGATGTTAAGGGACATTAGTATTACAAGGATTAACTCATGTTGCAAATTTGAACCCATAATAACCTTACCAAGGCCAGCCACAAAACAAAACATCTTAAATGCCAGATGTGTGAGGAAAATGCCATGCTATAGCAAACAGACACCACGTGAGGGAGCACCTCTTCTTTAAAAATTGCTAAATAATTCATTTAGTTTGACACAAACCGATATTGTGCCCAGGATCTCTCTTTAGATAGTGGCATAGACTCTGTATAGTACCCATGGAGGAACAACTTCCGCCTACTCTCCTTTGTCCACTTCCCCAGTGCCCTAAACATGGGGAGGGGATAATGTCATCGTCTGCTTAGTTACTGGTTGCAACTGATTGGCTTTTATTCCATCTCTTCAAAATGAAAGTGGCATTGTTAAGTATGGGCCTTCATTCTGATTTTAAATAATGCTTCAATGTAAAGGGTACTTTGATCCTCAGATTCTAAAAGTAGGGTTTTTTGCAGCCTTAAAAAAAAAAAAACCCTGGAGTTCTTGTTGTGTCTTTCACAGCAACTTTCCACACAGAAATGTACCCATTTAATGGGCTTACCTCAACCAACCCTGTAAAATTGGTGCTCCAAGAAAATGAATTGCTCTTGAGGGCCATTTGCAGTTTGAAATTCAAGCCAAAATTCAAATTCTTGTTATAACATCATTTTCATTTTATTACTGTTCTCTCTTGCCCTTTCTGTCTCCCCCTCCCTTCTTTGAGAAGGAAGATGTGTTGTGGCTGGGCACAGTAATAGAAGAGGCACAGTAATAGAAGAAAGGCACCCACACAACCAAGGGGAGAAACTCTAAATGGCTTCGGGGGGAATGAACAAATAAGGTGTTCTCTAAGGAATGATCATAATTCTGTTCTCTGCTCCCAGTCCCTGATGATAACCATGATTATTTTCTCTCCTACAAAACCAATTTTGTTGCAATAAATACATCAACACTCTGATTCCCTGATGTGATAACTTCCACAGGCACCTTGCATACACATGAAACCTCTCGAGCTTTGCTACTTTAGTTTTCCATGGAGCCTTATACATTAGCATGTAACTGCTTTAGGAAAGTGTCCCCCTATTTCTGTCCTCTATTAATCTGTGAACAAAGGTTTGAGTTCATCTATTTATGGAAGATCAGCAACCAGGGTGTATGTGTGTGTGATTTTCATAAAGCATCCTTGTGAAATTATCGCTTTTGTCTGCATTGCTTTAGTGGACAGTAACAGAGCTAATTTGGCGAAAAGCAATTTTTCTGAAGCCATTCCCTGGAGTTCTCTATTATTAGTTAGGACAGGGGAGGAAGAGATACAGTAAAATATATAGCTATGGATTGTTCTTAGGAACCACTCAACAGTAACTTGGCATTTGGATGCTGAGTAGATCCCAGCTTGCATTAAATGACTGTTGCCATTTCAAAAAGCCCATAGGAGTGAACAACATTAACAAAACAGTGAGACCTAGTAAATAACTGTGTATACAGCACTTTTCCTTCTAGAAATCTGGACTGCCATGCACAAAGAATGGATTGTGTAATACCTTAGCTTTCTAGAAGAAAGATGAGGAGGAACAGATGGAAATCACTCTGAAGATGAATATTTATATAAAAATAGTTATTTAAAAAATGAAAAGAATAGTGTAATCACTAAGTGGAACGTTGTGATTAATGGGACAATAGCAGTTGTTCTCTCAGCTTTCATAATCCATTGTTGTGTGTCTCTGCTCCCAAGACACACAATCCTCACTGGCTTACAGGAGGCTTGCTTTTAGTCTTCTTTCTCTTTACTGCTCTACAGTTACCTTCTCTTGCCTTCCACCTCACTGATTTGTTGTTCATGTCTATATTCACCTTTATTCTCCAGCTCCATTGATTTAGTATTCACATCCCATTCTTCATTCTCATTTTGGGCCTATGGACTGTAATAAATTATGACTGACTCAGTGACTGACTGACTCAGTGACTCTCTGACTGACTGGCACTGACTTCTCTTTGCTCTTTGCCATCCCATTTTCCATAGCTCTGTTCCTAAGTGCTCCTCTTTACATACTTCTCTGCAATCTAACGTTCCATGTCCTTGTGTTATGTATAACCAAGGGTCACACTCTACTGTATTTCTATGTAAAGAAATTTCCCCATCACTTGCATGATACATTTCAGGACAACAAGGAACCCTTTGTAGCCTCTAAAACAATGATTGAAAACATGGAGACTTATTGCAAGGGGCTTCTCTCCTGGTAAATAGTGCTATTTTGGAAAGCACGATGTAAGTGACACTGCTCTGTTCCCTATTGCACATGTGAAAACTTCTCATCATTGCAGCCTTTCCTCACACTAAAAACCTCTCTGCATCACATTTGGCACTGCCCAACAAATACCGCATGAGTCAGTGTGGTGTAGTGGTTTGAGCATTGGACTATGACTCTGGAGACCAGGGTTTGAATCCCTGCTCAGCCATGGAAAACCACTTGGTGAGCATGGACAAGTCTCCCTCCCCTCATCACACATACACACACACACACAGCCATAACATGGCAATCAAATCCTGACCACCCCCAAATTGCAATTAAAGTGAATTTTTAACTTTAATACTGCAATTCACACAGAACAGTTATGGGAAAGACAGACTTTTTTGTATATAAAGAGAAATACTTTCACAATGGTTTCTGATGGGAGAGTAACAGGACAATGACAACACCATGTGGTGAACCAGAGACACTAGTGATACCAATCCAAATATGGCACTATATCATCACGGTGTGATAAGGCCCCTGTATTGACACTACACAGCATTCTCCATTTCCTTAAGCTTGACCTTTTTTCTTTTGTCTCCTGGTGAGCATTTGTATGCTTCTGGGCACAGAGAGCACAAAGAGCAGCTGGGGAGGAGGGAAGAAGCCATTCACCAACTTAAGTAGGTTTATTAGCAGTGAGATCTGCCAGACTGGTGGCAGCAGCTTTGTAACAGCTACCCAAGTGCTAATTAATATCCTGGTTTGTTTACCACAATGAGGTGGGAGATCTTTTTGAAGATCATTCAGAAAATAGCAGTCCAACTATATACTGGGAATTACTCTAATCATAAACTATCTATGCTAGCTTTCATTATACTTACTTCATTCCAGAACTTGGAAACCTGGTTGCAAAAAGTAATTAGCTACTATTGTAATGCCAATGAGTTTTAAATAGTTATGTTTATGATTTTATAAAATAAGTCTTCTCTAAAGTAGCTCAAAGAGTTACATTTTACCTTCCAGAAGGGAAAGGGCTGTATGGACAGATAGCTCCCAGGTTAATAAATTTGGTGAGTAACCTGTTCTGGATGTGGTTTTGCTCCTCCTGAAGCAGAGGACATGCAACTTATAAGTACTACTGGATCTATATTTGCCACTGGAGGCCTAAGCAGAGGCTTTTGGGACAAGCTTCAGCCTACTAGCTGTAGTCTTTCCTGGACTGGCATAATGTGGCTGCAACAGTCCATGCACTAGTAACTTCCCATTTCAACTACTGTACTGTGCCCTGTGCAGGACTGACCTTGAAGACAACAAGGAAGCTGGACTTAACACAATATGGAACAAGCTGTATTGCTGATAGGAACAACTTACAGAAAGCACACAACAGTGATTCTAAACGAACTGCATTGGCTTCAGTATGCCTTCCAACATTTCAAAGATCAAAACCAAGACACGTGTGGCCAGCCAACATCACAGTGTGGTGAAGATAGCAAAAATTATTGATGCGGAAAAACACACAAGTTAGGAGAAGATGCAGCAGGTGTCTTTTGCTTGGAAAGGGCAAGATTCCACCCTTTCTCTTCTCTCCTCTAATTGAATGCAAATTACTTTTGTGCTTTGAACTCAACTTGCAGCAATTGACATAAGCTAAGGACAAAAGGGGGAAGTGGGAGAAGAAGAAAGAAACTGGGATATTTTAAAAATAGTTGAAAAAGTGAGACTACAGAGGATTAATCTGCACCATCCTTACCAAATTGAAATAGTTTGAGCATATGTCCCAGTATACTTCCAGCCTCAGTTCCAAATGCTGGTGATGACTTTAAACCTCTGTATAACCTGGGATAGCAATTCTTGAAAAAACACATCTCTTTGTATGCAACTGTCAACCATTGAAATTTGGCAGGAACAGGACAACCCCTGTGTTTCATCAGTAGGAATAATGTATTATATGGAAAAAGGTTTTCTCTACTATGGTTCCCTCGTTATGGACTGCTTTCCCTTTGGAATCCAGTTAGACACTGACATTAGCTTCATTTCAAACATGATTTTCATGTAAGCTTTTGAGAACCTGGGATCATGGCATGACTAGGTAACAGATCACTGATGTTATGTATACTGTTTTTAGTAATTTTAAATTATTTATTTGAAAAACTTGTGATATAGGTCAAGTTATAAATACTTATGCTATAAGTATTTTAATAAATAAATGAACTGTATGAATTTAAAAAAATCTGAAAGTAGCAGCACATGGCACAGCATTTGGACTTTTTTTTTTACTTTTTACTGTGGCTGCAACCCAAGAATTATAAAGACAACTTTGGAATGCAAAAGGAGTGAAATTAGCCATCATAAAGTTACAGTCATAATTAGATCATTATTGGAAAAATGGAACCAGTGTGGCATAGTTGTTTCAGAGTTGGACTGTAACTTTGAAATCCATGGAATCACATTGAGTGACCTTGGCCAAGTCACTCTCTCTCAGCCTCAAAGGAAGGAAATAGTAAAGTCCCTCTAATCAAACCTTGCCAACAACCCAACTTGTTGTTGTGTGCCTTCAAGTCATTTCCGACATAAAGAAACCCTAAGGTGAACCCATCACAGGGTTTTCTTGACAGGATTTGTTCAGAAGGGGTTGGCCTTTGCCTTCCTCTGAGGCTGAGAAACTATGATGTTCCCAAGGTCTCCCAGTGGGTTTCTATAGCTGAGCGGGGATTCAAATCCTGGTCTTTAGAGTCATAGTCCAATGCTCAGACAACTATACCACATTGGCTCTCTAGAATCATCCTAAATCTGAAATGACTTGAAGACACATGAGAATGACAAAAAAAGAAAAAAAAGAAAAGGGAATTAATTCCAAATAACTCAGTGTGCTCAATGGAATTCTCAATGGTGGCAAACTCTCTGTAGAAAGTCTTGGCAAATAATAGAGACACCAACACTAATCTCATGTTAAAACATGTTGAAACCTTCTTATTCCCCAGTGTTTTAACCGCTGGTAGGACTTCCTAGAGTTTTGTCTTCTTATGTTTATCCTTTACGACTTTGAGTTTTTAAATAAGTTTTTAATTAATTATTTTGTTATGTTATTGTTTCATTGTTGATCAGTCAGGCTTTCTGTTTGCCACTTTCAATACGTTTTACAGAAAGCCAGCATCTAAATATTCTAAATAAATAAAATATGTTGTCTAATCTTCTTTCAAGTTTTATTCCTTCCACATCCCAAAGGACCATACAGATAGGAGTTCTACTACTACTGAAAAAGATCTGTTGGCAACTACTTGCCAAACAAGCCTTGGCTTCAGACAAATTCCTAGAGGGGGCAAATGGTCCATGATATGATGATATAAAAGAGAGGAAAACACATCAGTGTCTGTTCTTTTCTATGGAATATGTGGAGGAAGGGGCTGTACTGAACTATTACAAATTCTGGCACATATACACATCCTTAAAGATAAATACAGTTATTCTGTTTGCAGAGGGGTTAAAGTAGGGTTGGAAAGAATATTTTAAAATATTCAGAAAATGGTTAAAAGAGAGTTTTGCAAGTTTTTAAGAAACTCTGATAAGAAAAATCCTTACATTCAGGACTTATTCTGTGTAAAATTCACATAGAGCTTTTTTGCCTAGAAAACAGCATTTTCTGCATATTAATTCCTCCATAGAAAATGCTGATTTCTGCAAAGAAAATGCTCTAATTGGATATTTATTCTGCATAAAATTCACATATATTTGATTTACATAGAAAATTGCATTTTTGTGTAGGAATTGATATTTCTGCACTTAAATATTAATTTCCATGCACTAAAAGTTGTTTTTTATTTTTAAAAAATCATGTGTGAATTTTGCACAGAATAAGTCCTGAATTGCATAGTTTTTCAAAGCCTTTCTTGCAATGGAAATTACTCATTGCTATCTTCAAGAAAAACACAGTGAATCACTTCATCCATAGGTGAAAGAAAGGAAAAATACCAAGTATCTGGTATGAATGTATTTTCTACTTCTTGGGGCCAGCTCCTTGACAGAATGAAGTAACTTTTTTCAGGAAACAGATGTTGGCCTAGGGAAACTGAAAGTAAAGTGTTTCAGTTCAGTCAGCAAATTGTCATGCTCCAGCCCTGCTAATTCTCCCCTCTGTTGCAGCAGGAACATCTGGGTCTCAATCATTTTCTATAACTGTCTCCCCATGACCTTCACCTAGCCTCCCTGACACCAGGAGGCAGAGATGGAAATCTTCACTTATTTTGTTCTTTTATACAGCAAATTTGTATACAAGAACAAATAATTCCAACATTTTTCTCCACACTGTCTGAGAAGACAAGGGTTTCTTTCACTTTCTCACCCAAAAATTCAATTTGAGCAAAAAGAAAAGAAAAGAAGAGAAAGTACTTAGCATAGATGTGCTTTTGTGCAGAAAATGTATTGCGAAAAGCAGTCTCTCTTCACAGAAAACCAACAGTTTTCCATATCTATTGACATATGCTGGTTAGCATTAGAGCTGATTTTTTCAGTGTGCATTGCAACAGTTCTATTGGTATATCATCTGTTTAGTCACTGCTAAAGTCCTATCATATATCAATTGGAGGGTGCCTCTGTGTGTGTGTGTGTGTGTGTGTGTGTTCAAGTCACCTGTTGAATTATGATGATCTCATGAATTTCATAGGATTTTCTTAGGCAGTATCTGCATGCAGAAATAATGCAATTTGCCACCACTTTGTGGCTGAATGTTATGGAATTCTGGGATTTAACTTTAAATTTAAACATAAAGTTCATCATGACCAAGTGGAAGAAGGTCATGTGCCCTGTATAGTAAATCCTCCATCTGTGTGAGCTTGTCTTTCCAAAAACCAATTTTCCATATGGCATGCTAAGACTAGAGGAAAGCTTCACTTGGTGACTCTATGGTGAATAATGGCTTTAGAAGGAAAATCAGAAAAAAAAGCTCAGCAAAGTTCCATACCTTCCTTGATAAACATCCTTTAAATCATCCTCACACTCCTATATACATTTTAAGGGATTTGGTGCATCAACTTGCCTGTCTTCTAATAAATATGACATGCCTCTACAGCCTGAGGTTTCCCATCTGCTCTATGTCACAATTCACAATATCAGCGATTCTTCTAGTTCTGATTGGCATAGGGTCCTGTATGGTTTGATACTTTGTAAAGGTATGATACTTTACATTTTAAATGAAACAAACTGGTGTGAGAGGGCCATTCACACAAA